ATTGACGACATGCCTTATAAAATCATTTCAAGTAGATATCGTGCAGTGGTTGGTGCCATAATAGCTAGAGAGTTCTTTATAAGTGGTTTGAAGCTGTACGCGATGTATCAAAATTGTCCCTGTATTCAACCGTTTCAGTTAAATTTTCATCACGTGGAAATGCAAGAGAATGGTTAATCAACCATGCTTATAGTATACAGTACATCAAGCTAGATAAATAACTTTGCCATCATTAGACAAGTCCATGCAGAATGATTACTTGTAGATATGCCATTACAAACCCTAATAAATTGTCACAAAACATTTGTGTCCCTAATTAAAATTTCAACTATTTTACCACTTGAAAAATAATTGAGTCAAGACTCCTATAATTAAGCATTTCTTGGTAATCGTAGACTACTTTTAATAGATATTCAAATATAGCTGGATATTCCAAAGTTGTCCATCCTCTCGTGTTGTTATTCCATGATTTTATAGTACTAATTGGAAAAATAAACTAGAAAATACGATGTTGCTGTTGAGAACATATCACACAGGAACACTTTCAGAGGAAAAAGATATGCATTTCGAGCTTAATACTCCTCTTCAGTCCTATTATTACATATTTATCAGTAAATTTATTACAGATTTACAGAATGCATTGAAAAAATTAGGATACGCGTACAATGATTTATATAATAAAGCTTAATTACCTGAGATAGTGTGTATATCTTCTTACTAGTCATGTTGATTTAACTGTCACTAAGAAGATATACACACTATCTCTGGTAATTAAGTTTTATTATATAAATCATTGTACGCGTATCCTAATTTTTTCAATGTATTCTGTAAATTTGTAAACCTGTAATCAATTTACTGATAAATCTATATACAGTATATAACCCATTGAACGGGTATCCATCCGTCCACGTAATGGTATGCCAAAAACGGGCACTAGAGGCGCCCTAGCGATGATTTTAAATTAACAATAAATTATTTTTATTTGTAATAGGAATTTATTATTTATACCACGGAATGGTATAATTAATTATTATATGCCTTGATTAACCTCGCGCCGCACGTTTACATCATCCCGTGACTCAATGAACGACGCGCATTGACCCACGGGAAATTTGTTGAAAAAATGGCGGATACATTTAAAATCGAGGTTTACAAGCGAAGGCAAATTAAACTATTTTAAAGTACTTATAGAATGTTTAATAGGTAGAAATATAGATCCGTATGACGCGATTGGGACGGTAAGATTTACCCTCCGAATGAAGAGGTGGCGACCCTCTTCTGTGCGAACAATAAATGTCTAATGAACCATACCCCTACGCGCGACCCTTCCCGACGTGTAGACCCCCCAAAATTATTCTACGGGTCACGTGACCGCCTGTTTGCCACAATTTACCCTGCGAATGAGCGGGTCGGCGACCCCTCAAGTGTGCACGAGCGCGCGTCAATTTTTTTTCGCGCGGTAGGCTCCTTCTGACCACGGTGTCACGTGATCGGAAATGACAAGCTCCTGAAAATTCGCCTACATCTCGCGAAGGGTCGCGAGTAGGGGTATTGTTCCTTTGACTTTGTTCTCACAAGGGGCTAGTTTGGGGGTTGCCACCTCTTCATTCGGAGGGTAAATATTACCATTGGGACTTTAACGGAGCTGTAGAGCATAATTGATAGGAACGAAAAAGTCAAAGGAACCGTGCCTCATGGAAGTTTGTAAAGAACGCCCACTAGGAGGCGTCCCGGGCTACTAGTATGTAATAATAGGACTGAAGAGGGGCATTAGGCCCGAAATGCATATCCGTCCACACCAATAAAACAACCTTTTTCCTCTGAAAGTGTTCCTGTGCGATATATTCTCAACAGCAACATTGTGCGAAGAAAATGCATATAATAGAGAACAAGCAACCAAGATTTTAGAAAATACAAGTTTGTAGAAGAAACTATGCAAAAATCCGAAAATTTTGCATTAGACTTGCATTATTTCTATGACATTCTGTGAATATTCTGGACTACTTTATGAATTAAACGGCGATATAAACATTTCCGATAGACAACAGTGGATTATTAGTAAAATTTTAGAAGTCAATTATCTTCTAGAAGAAAATTAGGATTTAAAAATTCAAAGTAAAATTAAGAAAACTTTAGTTTTAAAACATATTTCCTCACCATGCATGTAGCACGCTTTTTTTCTTTACGTTAGAAAAACATTAAACTTGTGTAAAAACGATTGAAAAAAAAAGTACTCTCTTCATAATTTTATATATAAAAATCCTTACAATTACTGAATAAGTGGGTGTTATGAACGAATTTCTATTACTGTGATTGATTTTGAAAATACTATATTATCAAATCTATAGTTCTGCAGTTGGTACTTCTCGCAGTATCTTAATGGTGGCGCTACAGTAGGAGAAGTACAGTACATAAACCTTTTCAAAACTTGTGGTTACTGTATATGGCAAAATGACCTGAAAGGAGGTTTCTTTTAGCCTTAACTCTAACGAAACAAAAAAAAAAACGATAGGTTTATTCGAACTCGCAACGTGCTGTCTCTGGCTTGTAGCGTAGTGTTGGAAACTCCACCTACTCGGGTGACGTTAAAGATCGGGTATGCCCTTGCGAAAAGTTTTTTCTTTGCATCTGGGACAGATTGCCCATGAAAAATTCCGGGAGGTCGAAAAACCCAGGATCCTCCAAAGCGATAGGCTGACGCCTTAACAGCCTCGGCCATTCGGCCGTAAAGTACACATAGATGAGAAATATGCACCATAAGGAAGTTTTATTCCTAACGACCCCGTCTCGTCTCTGACAAAACAGCAACATTGAGGGCAAAAGAAGAAATGATGCCACTTCTTCCCAGTTGTGTTATTTAAGATCTACAAAAGGATTGGTCAGAATTTGCTTTGTGCAGAGAAGTTTCTGCACGCTTCCAGCGAACTGGTACGACAATCACGTGGCATTTTTCTTCGGTACGAGGGGAGAACGTGCATCGGGCGCAAATTAATGTCAAACTGTTGGATGTTTTCATAAAACACACAGTTTCGTGAGATCCAATGTACAGCAACTACGAAAATAAAGATGTAGTGATAATGCCAAATCTTTACGCAACCGTTTCCTCTTCTCTGTCGTCATCCATCGTTCGCAATTCGCCCCCCCTCCCGGAATTAATTACGAACGTAATGTATAGACCAGGGATAGCGAACCTTTTTGAGACCGCGTTTTTAAAGCATACTTAGCTTTAAAAATGTTTAGGAGTGCCAGTTTTAGATTTTGAATAATATGCTTTAATTAGAATAAATGTAAGTTGATTGAAGAAAGAATGATCGGGTGAGAAATCGAAAGGCTTGAAAATGACGATGATCGAAATCGTATGATACGTTACGTGCCACACGTTCGCCACTCCTGGTATAGACAGTTCTGTAGTACGTGATCTCGAATCCTTATAAAATTCTAGCATACGAATGAAGTGTAAAGAAACCGCCACGATTAGAGTTGAACAAATATATTAACTACAGAACACTGATTAAATTGCTTTATCTATATTAATTATCGGATGATCGTGTTAGTGATTGTTTAAGTATATAAGAGAAAATTTGCTGCTGAAAAGTCGGTATGTCGAAAGTGCTCGTCAAATTATACGAAATCAAAGCAGCAAAAGAAAATGAATCCGGGAGGAACATAATCACGAATCACGCTTCAAAATATTTTGTATTAAACTTAAGTGTATTCCACAGTTAATATTACTAATTAGTAAGCTGCTGCTTAATTCCAATCGTAACTATGACTATTCTTGGATTTTCAGATGGTAAGCCATGCTCATACCTGCAACCGTCCCAAATCTTCTAATAATACAAGCCACCAATCGATATCAACTAATAATATCTTAGTTGTAAAATACGGTTCCTTTAATATTCTCGACAATTAAAAGTAGGGATATATTTAACGCGGTTCCGATTTTTATCCGAAATGATCGATAGTAATCACGATTTAATTACCTCTATATAAATTCGTGGAACGTATTACGTAATGGGTTAATATTAATAGAAAATGTACTAAGTAAGGACCAGACTCGACGATAATTAAAATACTAAAGTGGAGTAAACAGCGATGCGTGCGCCAAAATTTATTTTCGATTACTCGTTGTGGCACTAAGAAATTTAACTCGAAAAGTCGACTCCAATTTCTCGTTTTTTCGCCACCAAACCCGAGACTACAAAAGAATTATATAAAGGATAATTCGCTTCCAATACAAAACACTGCTATTTTCAGAGTGGAATAAAAGCAATAATAGAGTATGAGGTCTTTTAAATACTTTGGCACGGAAACAGTAGACGACGCGAAGGCGGCACTTTCCAGTTATTCCCATCGCCTACAAAGGGCAAAAGGCGTAGGAAAGAATCGCCAGCCACACAGTTTTCTAAACGAATATAGAAACGGTCGGATTTAATCGGTGCAGAGAGGTCAATACGTAAACACTTTCTTCTATCGCGCGAAATTTTAAAACTCCAAACGACGCGCGCGCCATGTCGTCACCGTCTGTGTCGAAACGAAAACTTCTAAATTTCTATTAATTATATTAATGGTAACGTCCCCATTAAATATAGAAGAAAGTCGCGGTATCGAGTTTCTCCAAGGATTTAATTCAACGGTCGTTCTCGGAAACGGGTAGAAAAATTCCCTTTCGACACGGACCTAGAAATAAGATCCCGCGAAACGACCTCCAAAACGCAAGGTCGACGAGATTCGACGTTTTTCGAATTATATTTGGACCTTTACATCTCTGCCAACTTTAAAAAACGTCGATCGGGCGGCGTGTCGGGTTCCGTCGGCAAGGGGAGAATGCGGCGCGGACGGGCGGAGTGGACGAAAGGACGAACGGGTTATTCCCGTCGAGCGAATTCTGTCTCCGTGCCAATTTCGTCGTTTGCGAGCGGACCGAGACGAAGGAAATCGAACGCCGGTTAAAAAAATAAAAATAAACAAAGGCCGAGGCGGGCAGAAATGGAAAACACTCGGGTTTGAAACTAAGTTTATTGGTAAATATACAATTTAGCCAACGTGTGTGTTCCACTTACATTGAATATGGAAAGTTTTCAAATCCATCAAATGTTTAATAAAAAATCTTAAAGAAATTTTGAAAGTTTAAGTAGAATTCGTTAATTTAGAAAATCCTCATTAAAACGTTTTAACGAATCGCGGTTTTACAAAATATCGTCCCGGGGAAATCGTCGCGCTTAATTTAAAAAGAAAAAACGGAACGGTGGCCTTCGACGCGTGCCCGGTGTTGGAGATTGGCTCAATCACTGACTATGGGACTTTCGACAACTAGTTTATTAAAATACGGCAAAATTACACTGCGTTACATTTCATTCTCGAGTAAAATTTCGTTAACACAAATGTTTTTTACACGGGTGTCGACCATTTACTAATCCGAACGGGTAAACCGAGAAAACGGGCGGAGGACCGCTCGCCCGCGGTTCCGACCGCCGCAAAACTCGACGTCCGGTCTTCCACTCCCGCCGGGTGGCGGGGCGCCATTCCGTTCGCTCCGTCGCGCGCTAGTCCTCCGACCCCACCTAACTACTTTACAAATACTTGAAACCTAATCGCTACCGACGTTCGAGGACTTACGAAAAATAATTAATTAAAAACTTATTATATCTAAGGTGACGAGGAGGCGTAGTGCACATTTTGACACTTCTTCGGACAACCGAATCTTAAAAAATTATACCACAGAAAGCCGTGTGACGATTGCAAACATTTTCCGACAGGTGTAAACGTTAAAAGAAAAAAAGGCGAGGGTAAATGTTACGTAGACGAGAGAGGACGTCCGAGGGTGAATTTGGAAGACCACTAACTAGATATCGTTTAGCTCCGGCGGTATACAAACGGTGAAAATTCGTTAGGGAAAGTAACTGGAACATTTAGCGAAACACCTTGGCGCGCTGCCCCACCAATAAGCCGTACCGACTGGCGAATCGGTTAAACCAGTTCTAAGAGAACGAAATCCGAGTGCTGGAACGAGAGTCGTTCCGTTACGTAAAAAGAAAAGGAAAAAATCGAGTCCCTCGCGTTCGTAGAAACTGTAGCAAAATTGATCCTTTTTTATTGTGTGACAGATAGCCTGGCTCGTGTCATGGGGTACGGCTGGGACCGAGAGGCGGTAATTTCCTTCACTGAATCACGCATTGCTTATGTCCGTTTTTGATCTTCAGACGAGACTTGGGACGGTACCTCTCCAAATACGACAACTGCTTGGCGTTAATGGCTCCCCTGCGCTTCCTTCCGATAAATAAACGGTCGTTTTATTATTTACTTTACCGAAAATAATATTATTAATAATATACTCACTGTCGAATTAGCTCGACCGCGTCCTCGTATTTCATCCCCAATTCGATAAGAGCTATAGCGACCAATACCGGAGCACTGAAAACGAGTTACGGTGATCAGATACTTATAAAAATAAATAATATTCATAAAAAGTACTCACCGGCCCAACCCTGCAACGCAGTGGACAGCGATGCAACATTCCGGATCTTCTCTGAATCTCGTTCTTAGAAGCTGAAACCAATCGTCTACAATTTTTGCTGGAGGAGGAGAACCATCGTCAAACTGCCAATCCTATCCAATGATATAAAACAGCGGTTTAATATTTAAAACGTAACAGTTCGTTCGGGAACATTCTTTTTCTTCGCTGTTTTAAAATTGTTGTCATGTGGAGAATTCACTGTTCTTTAAGAAATTTTTGATATTTGATTGACGACAATATTAACGAGGGTGGTTACGTAAGGTGTACTCGCCGATTTTGGTGAAAATTTAATCGCGAAAGTACCAGTACTATAAGAATTGTTCGTAAAAGAATCGGCTGAGAAATCAAAAAAATAAAGCGTTACTGACAAAGTTGATATAATAGTCATTTTCAATGTAAAAATGACTAAAGCTTAAAGGATGTTTGCACCGAAAACAAATTACAAACACGTTCAGAACATTGAAAATTCTCTCCGAAACAGTTGTTTCTTGAAATAAAATGTAAATTCAACAATCTTACATGAGATGGTCGCTGTGAAGGCTGTCTAGAGCTAGTATGGGGTCAGGAGGTAGGGCGGGGGGTCTTTTAGTTTTTTTTGAACAAAAATGACTAAAATTTTTTTCTATAAAAAGAAGTAAACGATATTGTTTTTACTAACAGAAAATAAAAAGTGTGTGTGGTAGAACCATTACGGCCCCATTAAGTTTTATCCGGACACAGGGTATCTCCAATTCCCTCTCGCTGCCGAAGATACCACACGATCCAGCCTCGTTCGGTTCGAATTTTATATAACTGGCACCCATACTGTGTGTTATATCTAAAATTAAGGCTATCTGATCAAAAAGTTTTACTCCCTAAAACCAGACTTTTCAGTTCAATTTCTTGGGCGTTATTGACGTCGATTGCTTCGTTGGTGTATCAAAAGTTTCTTCATACATCAACGAAGCAATGATGGTTAGTACTTGTTGCGACTATATTTTCATCAAAATCGGTGAACACACATTCTTACAAGGGAAGTTACCCAATCTTTTTTTAAAAAAATAACACCATAAGTTCTTTTGGCGATAAACTTTCAGGTGGAGTACCTTAAATTTAAAGTTTAACATGTGATTATCCGAAAAATTGGAGAAAATACTAGGAAATAAAACTAATGAAATAATTCACACAACATCCCATTTGCTTAGTGCATTCTAATAATAATATACTATATTGCGAGAATATGCTTTTGTATTATGCAGGGCTAACAAAACTCCATGCCAATATTTTAGGGCTAGATTCTAAAATCAAAAATTTTAAATCCTCTGTAAACGTTTTTAAAATTCCACTTCATTTTCGAGATCTGACCTGCCAAAAAAACTCTTATTGGAAACCAATTTTAAACATCAGGCCAAAAAGATACAGCTGTTTTTCATTTGTGTTACCGAACAAGCAAAAACTGAAGCTTTATTTCAAATGTTGACATTTTTTTTTTTAAGACGTGGAAATTGAACTAGTTTTAATACGAATAAAGATCTTCAATTGTTTTTTATAAGTAGTAAATGTCTGTGAATAAGACTTTACATTTATTATAGTAGGGCTTACTCGGGCAAACATTTACTTACCTAAATCCGTTGACAGAAACATAAAATAAAAAAGTACGAAATTACCTTAAAAAGTTGACAACTCTAGTGTTAGTACTTTGGCAGGGAACTTGGAAAGTACTTGTTTAGGATAGGCCAGATCTTGAAAACTAGGCTGAATTGGAAAAAGATGTTTATAGAGGATTTTAAGTTTATTTTTGACCCTAGATTATCCATAAAATAATGGCACACAATGTTGTTACATGCTGCATAGTTACATTGTTTTGGCATAATTTTATACACTTACCAAAAAAAAAGTTAGCAATAAATTGCAATTTAATCTATATTACATTTTGCCAAAATCATATAAAACAGCTAGACAAATAAAACTGACCCCTGATATACTAAAACATTCAAAGAACAAAAAAATTTATAGTCAAGCATCTACTGAAAACAATCAGAATTAAAGCAGCAGCAATAAATTTAAGTGTCAATCATCATCAAAAGAAATACCTTTTCACAGTATACATACAACAAAAGATGCATTAGATACTGGGTATTCAACTTTATCATGTCTGTAACATGTCAAAAGTTATTTTATTGTTCAATTAATAAAGTTCATTGCACCCAGATCTTGAAATTGAAAGCAAGCAGAAATGCCAGTCACTTTATGACTGAAAGCTACCAAAATGATTTAAGTTTACAGAATAAATTTTACAATTTCAATGTCATACTTGACAAATTTAAATTTTTATTTCACTATTTGGGAATTAAACTAAATTACTACAATTTTGACCTATTACAATTTTCCATAATTTGAAAATATGTATAATTCACATTTTGTCATAAGAAATATGAAATTATTAATTTCTTAATACTAGTTTAAATATAGGAAAGATGTGAAAAAATATAAATTATTTAACCTTGCATTTTGAGCATTAGATATAAATGATAGAGCAAAAAAAAAAAAATGTGTAAATAGTCTTCACTATAGGAATAAAATAATTAAAGTTAAATCTAATATTCAGAGTATTCTTAGTATCCAATGTTGAAATCTAAACACTAAGAATCTGATGTACTGCAATTAATGATTAAATTATAATTATGAAAATCAAAGACCATGATTACATCTTTACAATAAAAAATATTTAAATAATTATTAGTCTCAAAACAGTACACACTACTAAACTTAGGTAATTAGCTTTCATTTTGATCTCAATAATAATAATAATAATAAATCTATAAATTTAATTATTTGTAGTTAAAAATTTAATTTAAATGATAAGTTAGATAATATGAAGATATTATAATTCCATCCTTTACCTATCAAAAATCATCATTGAAAAGTAACATCCATCAAATCTTAAATTGATTTTATATAAGAAAATTTAAATTCTGCACTTTTTATAATCATTGTTAAGTTTAATATCAATTAATTAATCAGTAATTTTTGTCAAGACATGCAGAATATATAACATTATTTACTGGTAACAATGTTACCCTTATTAAATTGAAAATTTACAAATGCAGGAATCAAAATAATGTTTTTGAAATGTTATTTATAATGAAAAAATATTAAAAAACTGTGGTTACATTATGCATATAAACTTTGTTATTAAATAGAGAAAATACAAAAGTAAAACAAACATTAATTTTTCTACCTTCCTCATGAATATAGGGTGATTATGAACCTCTCCACATTTTAGTTATTTGTTAATAGCGCCATTTCTCTTGCAGCTGATGTGAAACAATGCTAACGATAGATGAAAGAATAGCCATTGTTTGTATTCGTCTGCATGGAGGGAGTGACATGAATGGGTGCAAGCAGACTTCACTCTGAAATTCTGGCACCCAGAAAATTAATATAGTGTTACAATGTTTCAGGAGCACCACAAACCATTTAAAGTGTACAGAAGTGATCACATGAAGCACCTCTGCATCTATCAGGAGACTCAGTGGAGAGCTTGCTACTCCAATTCTAATGCTTGGAAAATCCTACACAACAAATTTAAAAAATGTTTAAGCTTGAAGCAGAGAAAGCAGCCTGATAAGCTGTGTCATAACCTGCTAGAGGCTGTGGAAAATGAGAATTTTATGCAGAATGTTTTTCAGTGACAAAGCTGCATTCCACACCTGTGGACATATGAGCAGACAAAATTATAGGATCTGGGTAGAGGAACAACCACAAGCATGAATTTCTGACTTTTGTAGGCTATTAGAGTGACACAGCTAACTTGCCATATAAATTTAAACATAAAAGTGTATACGTCCTTAGTTTTGGAGAAAGATTTTTTCAGACTTAAAAAGTTTACTCTATATACTTGCATAAAGGTTAACTGAGTGAGTGCAAGTTAAGAATGTAAAGACATTAAAACTTAGCATTTATTAGATTGAAGAAAAGTATTATGTCAAGAACCAATTCATTTTACAATTAATTATTTTAAAAAATTCTAAATTACAAATACAGTACAAGTAAATCATTTGAACTGTTCAATAATAGCTATAAAAACTAATGTGCAGAATATATGTTAAATCGGGTCTCCAAACCCACAGCCCCTGAAACATTTATTGGCCACTTATCTTGTTTAACATTTTTGAAATATTCAAATTAGTTCAAAGCATATAAACTTGAGAAAATTCAACTATATCTGCTAGAAGAGTAGTTTGTATGGAAGATATTTTCTATTTTTGCTTCTACGTACCTTTTTGAAAATCAAATATACAAAAATCAAAATATTGAAAGATTTTAATATTGGGTGTTCCAATTTTAATGTTTCTTTTGAAAAAACAATCGCAAATTTCATATTAATTTATGTCTGTAATTATTGTGAAAGATTAAGTTTTTTCATTTTTTGAATATCTTTCATACCTAGCCCTAATACTTATTAGAACTTTGAGTTTTATTCTGCTTCCTAGCAATGCCAGGATGCTATGTACAAAATTTACAAATTAAAAAAATTGTGGTAATTTTTGTGTGTTTTAGAGAGATTTAGAAGTCATATCCATGATCGAATTTGCATTTGAGTATTAAATACTTTATGAATCAATTAAACAGCATTTAGTACTTAAAACTGAATTAAATACAGTTAAAGTCCAAAAGACTAACTTTTATAAATTAGTATTCCTTAGAATGATTGATACTCCTTTTACCATATATTTGGGAGATTGACATGGTAGATACAAAAAATAGTGTAATTCATCTATTGTATTATAACAGGCACTGTGTTTTCAATATAACATTATAATGAAGAACACAATAATGTTTTAATATAGTAGATGAACACTGTAACCACCCTATGAGTCTAAAGAATTCTAAGTGGAAAATCTGAAGATTAATTTCAAATTGTCACACATACAATAATTATTGTATGTTGGTCACAACTACAATAATTATTGTGTGTGTGTGACCAATTGTATATTGGTTTATAATTTATTTTTAATTTTTAAAGAATTGTAAACAAAAATGACATTTGAACTGAATGATGTTTAAATTTTTAATAATAAAAAGATTTTTAAAAAACATATATAATGTTCTCCCAGTTATGAGCCTCAAAATGATACCTTGAAACATTTTTTCCACAACTTTGACGAGGGAAAAAGTATCTTTTTGACAAGTTTGAATTGTTTAAAATTTTAATAGAATTAACTTTATTTTGATTTTGTAATAAAGTTATCAAAAAATTATTAATAATCATAAAACAATATATCATAATGCTAAATTTTAATTTTTTTTTATACTTAAATTAAGAAACTAGTCTAAAAATGAAGTGCAGATAATAAAGAACAATAGCAAACTAAGATAACATTGGAAAAGAATTTGTAAAATTTCTTGAAAAAAGTTTAAAAATTTGTAAATCTGATTTTATAACACAGTTTTAAACTCAATAAACTACTCTATTTTTATTGTAATTTTATTTGCGACTAAATTATAAAAAAAACCACCATTATTATTTTCTGTTGTTTAAATAAGCATTTTAAAATCAGGCTTATTTAATATTTTAAAAAATTCATAATGTATATAACTTTGGATGAATAGAAACAAAATTCGGATATGTCAGGACCCATATCACATCACCCGGTCGCTCCATGTGGTCCTGGCCGAACCCATAATGGGCTGGCTAAATCAGGCCCTCTAGTGCCTACAGGGCAGAAAGTTAAAAGTTTGACAAACTGCTCATAAACGTCATATTATAAAAACACTATTAAAAAAAATAGTGAAATGATATTAGGAGATTATCTTAGCATTACATTTTAATTGAAATCTTGTATTTTTAATTTTTTTTCCTATAATCATTGATTTGTTTATGAAGTATACTGATTTTAAATTTATGGGGTAAATAGAAACAAAAGTGACTATTTTCATTCATCTCATGTAACTTTTTCCAACAATAGTGCTTTAAAATTTGTAGTAGTCTAAGGCCTAGCTCTGAAATAGCTAAATAGATCTGTATTTCCATGTTGGTCCTAATTTATTTCAGTGAGAACACTCAAACTTAATGACTTCTCTATAGTAAAGATGTACAGAAAATGATACTGTGATTCAAAATGATTACCATACCTGCCACCTAAGATGAAGTCAAATCTATCAAATTACTGTTCAATCATAAAAATAGATTATCACACATCAATTATTAATAAATGATGACCTATATTTAGTAAAATCTGACAAGGATAAATCAATATTTCTATGTTTGAATTCTTAAGACTTGAGAATAAACTCATATTTATTAAATAAATTTAAATATAATCTGCTATTCAATTTTATTAAAGCTGAATAATATACAAATTTTGTGAGTAAACAATAGATAATTTTATATCATTTATTTAAAATAAAGGAAATTGTAAAATTTAGGTTGACACTTTAGTTATAAGTAAAATGCATTAAAAAACATCTCTATCTTACCAATACAGATATGCCTTCACGTTCCAACTGATCAGTTTTGTAAGTGGGTTCACATACCCTTACAACATCTTTCACATTTCTCTTCTGTAATTCCTATAAAATGAAATAATTTAATAAGAAAAAATAAAAACCAATTTAAAATCATCACTCAAAATTAAATATTTTAATATAATAAAATGAATTTAAAAGTCAATGTAACTTTCACAATTGTATACTAAACATTATGCAGAGTAATTTTAAATGAATGTTTATATTTTATTGAAATTTGTATATTATTCTTTATTTAGATAATATACAGGGTGTTCTACAAGATAGTGGCAATATTTTTAGTAGTCTAGGGAATCCAAAAATACCCTATAAAGACAGCTCTCAAATGCATTGTTTCAGCATAGAAGAGCAGCAACTTAATGGGGTTAAGATGTTACTCTGCAGTATTGTAGGACAGTTCAAATTTGCTGCCTATTAGCTTCTTACCTTCAGAAACTTACATTTTTGCAAAAAAACATAAGGTTCCAAAGGTAAGAAAGGTTTTCGCTTGTATTTCTTGGCACTTTAGTACAGCACAGAAAATGAAGAAAGGTAGAGAGACAGGCCTTTCTGTGACATCAAGTCTAAATTAAAATTTAGATTAGCTACTCCTCAAGATGATGCTCTTCAAAAATGCATTGTTTCAGTGCTAGAAGGGCTATCTTTGTTTTGTGTAGGATGTTCTATGAGGCAGTGAAAATATTTCCACTACCTCAAAGAACACCCTGTACAAAACAGATAAAACAAATCTGTAATCAAATTCTAAATGATTATTTCAGATTAGTTACTAAAAGTAAAAATTTTACACATTTCAATCTTATTACAAATGTAATAAAATAATGTTGAATTACATTCACAAATTCAAAATGTAAATTTTAAGCTTTATTCTAAACTGAAGTGTGAAATACAAATTTTAGTTTTTCTACTAGAGCATAATCTCAATTCAAAGTGAAATGGACAGAAAAATTGAAATAAAATTTTAATTCAATTTTAAAATTTAAAGTTTTAGAAACTACTGTTATTCTAATGAGATCATAAACACCATAATACAAACAACAAATACATTTATTTTAATCAAGTCTTAATTTTTAGATATATATATATATATATATATAAAATAACAAAACATTTACACTATTAGTGGAAAAAATTTGTTACACGAGTTTGTCATTAACAATTCATTGCTTCTTGCTGCTTAGAAAGCTTGTTTTATAAATGTAGTAGTTTGTAGAAAGCCACCTTAAAAGCTTGAGAGCTTTTCTGGCCTCTCTACATAGAGGAGGGTGCAGGATAGTTATCCTTGGCAAAACTTATTTTTTCTTCTTTGTTTCTTGCACTTGGTTCAATACACTTCGGTAATGATGTAATATACAGATATATCTTCAAATAACACTTTCACTACTCACTGCTGTCATATCAGGCCTTCCTTGACATAGTTAACAAATTCTGATGAAAATTCTAAATTATACAAAAAGTTGACAATTTGGTCACTGAAACTTGTCTCTAATGCAATTTGCAGTAGTATTTAGTAGAACTTTATTTCAAGCTTTGTTAATCATTTACACTGTACTTAGCACATTGAGACCAATCTCATGCTGAATGTTATTAAAAATGGATAACATCTTTAAACTGTGATACAAAGCATGTTAGACAAAAATTTTGAATGATTTCCTGATATAAAGATGGCAATCTACAATTAGTATTTGATCATAAGTAATGACTGTACATGCACTTTTTACCTAAAATGTTATGTTAAAACCATGATATTAACACAATTGGTCCTTATTCTGTTCAAATGGATTAATTTAGTCACTCAAAAATGCATATTTTATGGGCATTTCAAAATTTATATAAAATATGTTTTAAATAAATAGTAAATATAAAACATGGCTGACAATATTACATTTAATTGTATAAATAAATATAAAATTGCAACGTTTAACATAAGTAAAATACTTTGCTTTCGTTATTCTTCTGTCATTCGATCCAGTGACAGTCCACAAATTCACAAGCACAGAGGAGACCTTTCTTTTGAGGCTACTGCCTTTGCAATAAAATGCAAATATGTTTTACCATATATTCAAATGTTTAAACTTGAACCATCTAACTCTCATCTTGTTAGTCACACAAACACATTTGCAATGCCATGAAAATCTCATTTTTCAAATTCTAAAAATCTTTTGAATTAATTGGATTGAAATTATTGTAAAAGTTATATTTATTAACTTAATTTAATCTTATTTTTTGAATTTAATTTCTTTCTATTTAATTTAATTATTTTTATTTTATTAATTTAATCTAAATCTTTCAAAAAATTGTATTCAACATTATATTTACACAACTTAATAGAGATAATTTTTTGCAAACAAAAGTAATCAAATTTCTGCATGTGGAACATTAACAGAAAAGATTCCATTACATCGAGTTTGATTCAACTAACAATATGAGTAAAACAGCAAAAACTAATACCGAATTGCTAAGCAAGCATGTACTTAGTTTAGATCCTAGACATTTAAAACAGATAATAATAATAATGAATTTTTTCTATTATAACATAAGCCACAAATAGTTTCCTGCTAAAAACAGCTTCCAAGTGTTTGCATTTCGAAAATGTCCTTAATCAGAACACGAAGCATCAAAATCAGCCAAACCAGCAATTGATCACACAGGTAAATTCTAGTTGCACTGATACTAATTTTAATATAGATTTCATGTTATCAGTTGAGAACAAAACATTATAAATTTAGCATTGAAGTTGTTAGTAATTACTTAATACTTAAGACCATTTACTCATTTCTCATCATATGTACAGGGCTATAAATAAATATGACAACTTTAGACCAATTAATCCAGAAATGCATTGTAAATTTAGGAAGCTAAAAAATTTATTTTTCAAATCCTGATGTCAACAGTCACATTTCTTCTGACTGACAAGGACTAAACAGATAAGAAATGTGGCTGTTCACATGAATTACATCATCAGATACATTGACTAAAGCCATAACTAAGGTCCGAATTTTTGAGAATGGACTGGGTGTTTGAGTGCTTTTAAATGCTGTATTTATTAAGACAAAAACAAACAAGAAAATTATATTTACAAAGTACATAATTGTTTATTGCAATTTACACAAAGATGAGCATTGTAATTTACAACAGTAACCATTTCAATGTTCTTAAAAGTGAAGTTTTCTCGTTTGATAAGGAAAAAGATTTTTCTACATCGAGCAAGACTAAGGGGTTATATTTAATTTTTACTCAGAATTCTAGTTCAGTGCAATCCAAAATATTTTTCAAAAATCGGGATTTTTTTATAAACTAGGTCTGACTCGTCAGAGACTGCATTTCTTAACTAAATACACTCAAACAAACCTTTACATATGCAGCCGTAATTTAATAGATAAATTCAACGTTTTCGACCATATTCAATGGCCTTTATCAAGAAAAACTGAAAAATCGAACTTTGAATTAAAAATTTGCATTACCGATACAAGCGTTATTTTTGGAACGTTTTTAAAAAGATATTCTATTGTATAAGCACCATCTCTACATATTGGCTATAAATAGTTAAAATAATACCAGTAAATACATTAAAACACAATAAAGTGTTAAAATAATGCCCGTAAATACATTAAAATACAATAAAGTGCACATAGAAACAAGAGTTAAGAGAGTTGCCGCTATGCTATGCATGTTCGCCATGCTGCCGATATTTTGCTTGCATCCCGGAAGTTGATAGCTAAACCTTTTTGGCTTGTTTTGCAGATATGCCAGGCTTCGGCGTATCTGAGGTGCTTTTTGTCGCATACTATTTGCATCAATTTAGCTTGGTTCCACTCCGCTTTGACCTCTTGTGGGTCGGCTAAGACGTACGTCGCCAGTGCTGTGCACGGCTGTTCTTTTCTTATATTTCTCTGATGCTCTAACAGCCTTTGTTTGATGGATCTTCCGGTAGCCCCGATGTAGAACATCATATTCTGCCTCTGTGTGTCTGTAACCAGGATTCTGTAGACTCCTGGAATAGTGTTCTGGTCCACAGCATCTTTGTCTGCCCTTAGCAACTGATAAATAGTGGGACTCCTTTTGTATACTATTCTTTTCTTTGTAGCAGCTCCTATTCGCCTATATACGTTGCTTAGCGAGGCCTTGTACTCCATCGTTGTGAACTCTTCTGTATTTTGTAGACTTCTCATCTTGCTACATGTCTTACATAGGCTTTTTATAGCTTTAGTATTAATCCCGTGTCTCTTAGCTAATTTATTGATATAACCGAGCTCTTCGTTTCTGTCCTGGGTACTGCTACAGTGCAAATAAGCTGGGTACGGCTGCATATGTAAAGGTTTGTTTGAGTGTATTTAATTAAACTAGGTCTGAGTTTGTCAAAGGCAAAACCATCCAGTACATCAAGCATCTGACTTACAACATTCCACTGATCCTGCATTTCAGTTCCACATCTTTCCAGCTCATTGATTTTATCCACCAATAACTTGTATGAACGCACGGAGTAGAGCTCTGTGATCACTACTGGATCAGTGACCAGTTTCTTGACACTGTCGATAGCCACAGAATTGCCAGGAGGAAGTTTGTTGATAAATGCATTAATGTTCTCAAAATTCTCGCAGTAGAATACCACACTATTTATCCAAGACCCCCAACGGGGGTAACAACTGGACTGGGTGGTAATGGCAGCCCAGTTACGTCTTGGTACAAGCACTCCCAACTAGGGCACTTGAGAAGAACCATTTTCATTTTCCTTTTCATTCTATTTTCCGAAATAGTTGGCCTTGCTATATTCTACACAAATATATTAACACACTCTGTATAGGGCATGGGCAAGACAAGTCACATGCTTTAGGTTGTTGTAGATGCACTTCAAATTTGAGAGTGCTGACATGTAAGATGCTTGATCTCTAACGACAAGCCAAACCTTTTCGTACTGGACACCATTTGGCCGCCACAACTTGACACAAATATCATTGAAAGCTTGGGACACTATAGTTGAGTTTGTATTTTCAAGTTGATACATTTTGAACAACATTGGTTGTTCATAGCATCTGGTCAGTGGTGCA